GTAAGTTTAGGTCAGAGGTCCCTCCGCTTCCTTTTGTACGGGAAAAAAGACAAATAGTTATTCAAGTCCAGGATAATAATACTATAATTAATTTTTCTAAGGTGTCAGGAACTATATCTGACGAAAGGTTGAGATGAAGAAGTGATACGCATCGTCCATGAATCCGTGCGGCTATACCACAAGGATAGGTGCCTTTGGACTAGAAGGTGGCTTATCTGGTGTGTGCAATTATAGGGGCAAACTGCCCCTACCGAGAAGCTATAAACGTATTTCGCAATCATTTACTGCTTTCTGAAAACTAGGTGAGCAAAATATAGCGTCACTTAATAATGTAACGCTTCAATTTAACATTTCTTTACCAAGCAACATTATCATCTTAATCACACGACAAATCTTAATTCAGCATGAACATAAGATAATACTCGATTAGTTTTCAAAAACGTTTTCTTTGATTAACTTTGATTGTTGAGTTGATGGACGAACGGACACACAGACAGATGCATGGACGAGCGCACGGATAGCTGCATGGACGAATGAACGCATGGATCGACGCAGGGGCGTATGCATGAACGAATGCAGGGACGGACGTACGGAAGGACGAGCGGACGCACGAACAGACGCATGCACGAACGGGTGGAAGGACGCATGGACGGTATCACAGACGGATGCAAGGACGGACGAAAGCAAGATCGAATGGACCGATGGATGCTTCACATCACTCTCCATCATTCACCCCGTGGATATGCTGCTGTTTTTTGTGATTGCATCAACACAATGATGATTGGTGATAGTTACAATTCACAGATATAAATATTTTGTATTAGTGCCACTCAAGAATGTAGTATGATAGTACACTACAACAAAGCATAGTGATGGGAGACAACTACTCTTGATCATTAGGACAGTGCCACCTGTAAAAGAAATAAATATGATTACAATGTTATATTCATTCATTTAATCTTCATAACTACTATAGCATAATATTCTAAAAACACGCCTTCGGAGGTGGTCTACTTAAGATACTGCTACGCGAGGTTTTTTTTTTCACTCTTGCTTCAATTGATTTGCGCCCACAAAGCCAGTCAAAAATGCTCAGCGCTAACTTCGCCTAAATCTTTGAGATGACTCATGATTAATGGAAATCGCTATGTTAAGATTACTCGTTGGATAAGAAGACACGAGATTGTTATAGAGAGGACAGGCTCAAGTTTTCGCAGTTCCAATCACCACCCTAGCGGACAGAGGGAAAAGCTACGGTCGTTCGAACGGGCCATGCTTGCTGGGTTTTCCCATTTCACGCACGAATTACGTGATCCTTGGAGCGCATAGCTCACATTTTGAACGCTAAGGGCAGAGCTTCTTCGTCAATCTGGAAAGCAGGCGCGCACTACTGCTGGAATGTCAGCTGCTAGAAAAGTTTAAACATCGCGAAGACCTGAAAAGTGCCTGTCAAGTTCTACCGTTTCCACTCAACTTTCAAGTTACAAGATTCAAGTTTTATTATTTCTAAAAACAAGTTACAAAATCTAGGATATACAGACGAGGGTTTCAGAGCCAGAGACTTTAGTAGGACCCTCGGTTTGCTTGATACAAAATGACGGTAAAATTTATACAGAGCAACGGAAAATTCTAACAATATACGGACATCAAAGTACACTTTTACATCTCAAATCAAACCAAAACACGCAGCATGATATAAAAAGAACCGAAGAACAAACGAGTCAAACAGGTAAACGATCACAAGTATGGGTATTCAAGAAAATGATTTTTGACGGACTATTTGATCAAAGGTAAGGAAGTGCAACGCCTAGTGCTAAAAGGTAACGCATTCCAAAAGGATATCGCACTGAAAGCGGAAGTTTTTTGCCAGTAATTAGTATGAGCGGGGGGGTAACAGGAAATTTTTATCAGCCGCGAACCTGGTCATAATATTATTCTGCAATAGATCAGATGCAATAAATGGCAATTCCAGTTGAATATACAGCAGTTTGTGGAATCAGGTCACAAGATTCAAGCTGGAACAAAATAATTACTGGCAAGATATAGTAAGAGCTCAGTATTGTGTAGGTGTTCGATTGCGCAGAACTAGAAGTGACAATGCAGAGTGACTGATTTTGAATGTGCTGTGTTGATGATAAATGACAAGCATAAGTGTTGCCCCATGAGACTACACCGTAAGTATTATGACTATGAATGAACCCAAAATACAGCGCCAGTAGAGCTTCACGGAAAAAGAAAAGGCAAGCCTTGATTAATGCGCGGATACCAAACACCGTCTTCTGCTTAACATAGGTAAAGTGACTGCAAAAGGTAAGGCATGAGTCAAGATGTATGCCAAGCAAGACGACATCAGAACAAGCAGAAACGGAATCAATGTCAAGTTGTATTAAGGGAATAGTAGATAATGAGCTCTCATTCTTTTAAACACCTAAATTTAGTTTTTGTGGTGTCGATAACTAAGTGATTATTGCTGCACCACTTCACGAGGACACGTAATGCAAGACTAACTTTGAAACAAGAGCGTCGATGTTTTTATCAGATGAAGATATCGTTGTGTCATAAGCCTATAGAACACAGTGACCACAGTCGAAAGAACTAAGAACATCGGGAAGATCATTCATATATAAAATAAATGGCAAGGAACCAAGTATTGAGCCCTGCGGTACTCCTGGTTAACATATTTCATTGTAAAGAAGGTATTTGCGGCGTGTACTGAGTACTTTCGGTCAACTACGTAATTTTTCAAAAACTTAAGCGCAGGGCCAGTTATTTCACAGGACTGAAACTTATGCAATAAGACTTGATGATTTACAGTGTCAAAGGCTATGGTGAGATCTAAAAAATTAAGCCCACTAAATTTCCCGAATTGATACTTTTCTTTATGTAATTAGTAAGACACAGCACAGCTAAATTTGTTGACCTACCTGGACAGAAACCAAATTGTCTGTCCTTAAGCAATTTAATTTAACTAAATATCCATTCAGACGTTCAATAAACAATTTCTCGACTAGTTTGCTAGGCAGGAAAGCATTGAAATTGGACGGTAGTTGGAATCTGTTTGTTTATTCGAATTTTTTCAAAAGCTGGAATTACTTTAGATTTTTTTTAAGAATGAAGGAAATGAACTGTGTTGATACATAAGGTTAATAATATGACACAGCTTATCGGAAACTAAATGTGCAGCCAGTTTTAAATGCCCTACACAAATGACATCTAACCAGGGTCCTGCATTTTTAAGAGTAGCAATAGTGAAAAGACTTCCTCTGGTGTTGTTGGGAAAAGAAAGGATGACTGCGTGGTACGTCCCAGAGAAGTATACGACTGCGCATGGGGGTGGTGGTTAGTATAGACGGAGGAAAAGTATTCCGTAAAGGCATTGGCAATTTCTTTGGGCTCAGTGAAGGTGGATTCATTGTACTCGATTTTGGTTAGAGGGACATTGGCGGATGACTTGTTAAGGAAGGAGTTGAGCAGCTGCCACTGCCTTTTGGGGTTAGTCGTTTTCTTGTCGAATTCATTTTTGTAGTACCTTTTTTGCACCTGATTGAGTGGTCGCTCTTGCCAACGGTCAATTACTGTAAATGTCTCATCATTCGACCACGCAGTGCGCTTACGTCGAGACGTAGTCGAAAGGCTTGCGACACTCATAATCAGTTTGCATCGAGGTGCTCCGATGGCTCCAACGGGGCGAGAGTTGCACTAAGTGCTTTAGGCAACGGTCGACTGCTAGTCGTCTGCTTGTCGTCTGATTCTTCCGTGCAGTCGATGCGAATCCTAAAATATGCAATACTTTAGATATTGTTCCCATTCAAAATTTAGAATATTCGTTTTTTGAACATCTAGCTTGTTTTAAAGTGTTTTATTGACCTATACTAAGTTTTCCTGTTTATTGTGCTTTCAAGAAGCTCGGCTAGGGGGTGCAGACGACCGCAGAATCGTGATCTCTCAAGCAGATGGCGGTTCACGCATTGCGATAGTCTTGAACCCAATCACGCCTGACCGTGAATAAAAGTGACTGTGTAGCAGCACGTAATCTGGATCGTGGTTATTACGGATCAACACTGATCGCGAATAAAAGCTCCCGTGTGACACCGCAATTATTTTCTGTTTATTAGGTACGTGACATATGTTCAACAAGACTTGTAACCACAAGGCACTTGCCATAAGTCGCAATCGCGCTAACCGCGACTTTTCTTATATAATAAACGATATGGTAATAACGAGATCTACATGCCAAGTTTACGTTAGTCTTTATCTAACATCAGGCCTGTGCAAAACGACGAATGTAAGTGTAAACTTTAAAAAAAGACGTAAATTACAAGGATGCCTTCGTAAACATTGACACAACAAACGCTCCTTGTCTAGAAATTCCCACCTTTGCTTAGTTTATCTGCAAATTGAATGTTTTTCTTCTTCGTGGTTTACTTATGGAGGCTATATTATCATTATGTTCTATTTGGTTTATGTGGCTTTAGGAGAATTTTTTCAAGGTTTGGGATGTAGCATTTATTGGGAAAATCCCTTTATATTGCGGAAACCTGTCCACATAGCAAGCTATCATTTTAAAGTATATATTGTTTTAATTTGAATTTATACGTTACAGCGAAGCATCTGTATTCCTCTATAAATCTTAAAGGCCTTTTAGGCACCGAAGCAGCACGTTTACGTGAAGCTTACAGAAGGTAACGTCAAGCTAGTCTTTGTTGTGGCATGCCAAATAAAAAAAATAAACTTTTCATGTATGTTGCCGCTTTGTGCAGGGTATTTCTCCATATTGAGCATCTCTACTTCACTCTGCTGCTCTCTTATCATACGTTTACCAAGAAATCAGTTTATCTGAGATGTTCCAGACATTTTGCTACAGGAGCAGATTTGCATCAGCTATGGAACATTTACTCCTATGAAGGCAAAGTAAAAATGAAAACTGGCAATTTAGCAGTCTTCGGAGCAGCACCGTGAGCTTTTTTGTCGTCTTTCACTTGATATTGCAAAGATACATCTGGACGAGTACAACTTTATTGAGGTCAATAAAATTTACTCAGAGTTTGCGTTTTCATAGCGGTACCTCCAGGAACCGTCTATTCCGTAATAAAGACCCCGTGGATGATATTTTGGCCGTGGTAAACGGCGTCGTGGAACACAGCAATTCGGCCAATACCACCAGCCATCAAATTTTTTATCAAAGCCGTCTGGTAGAGGACACCTGCAATATCACGGATGATTGTGAGAAAGAGAAGCAGAAAGCAAGGGCTGGTAAGTATACGAGCATATACATATAATCAGGCTTCAATAAATTATAGTACTGCACTGAAGTGTACAAGCTGATATTGAAGTTCCTACTACCGACAAGCGGGCAAGAAATTGTGTTGGCTGTATACTGCAGATTAGTGTCAATTGGTTGCCTCGTTTTTATTACGCCACACGTGCACTATTACCAGATAATCCCGTTCAGAACATTGATTTAAGTAATAGGATCATTTTGTGTCGTCCGTGCGAAAGTATAACGCCATTAAAAAAATTTCAGAAACTCAACGAAGTGTCTCAACGCCATACTTGGTAAAAACTTTGTGGCGCTTTGTAGCGTAATACGAATACAAACTCGTGCTACTGCATGTAGCTTTTCCCTTGTATATTAAAAAGGTAAAATTAAAATCATTTACGAAAAAGAAACATTGCTTTTATGAATAAAATTACCTCGTCATTTCTCGAACAGAACAACGTTATTGTTTTGCTTGGCGCGAAGTGTTCATTGCAAAAAAATGTGGTAAAAGTTAACACACCGGTGAAACACGTCTACCCTTTAAAGTTGAGCCAGCAATGGGCTGATAAAAACCTATATAAATGCCTGCCCATTTTCTCCAATTGTACCTCAAGTTAAAGTGCTCGCAAAGAAACAAAGGTATTCGTGGGCTCAAAGTCTGGTTATATCTAAACAAGAGATACAATACTGACGCAGTGTGTCAGCTGAGTGGCACCAATTTTTTGGTCTATTGTTTGACCTTCGACGCAAAAATTTTTGTCTGAATGTCTGTCTGTACATTTGTCTGTTTCTCCACTCTGAACGACACTGGGCATTTAAAACGGCTGACCCTAATCGCAGCGCTCACCATTGTTGGTCAATGTTTAGCGTTCATATTTGTGCAATTGTAAATTATTAACCAATTATTGCGCATGTCTGGGGCACCATAACAACACGTATTTATTCTGCATGTGCATGTTTTACCAGAAAAGACATACATAAGCAGTTTTAAGTAGCGTAGCGCTTATCACACTGTGATGACAATGTAATGCCTGCATGAAAAGGCGCGTTTTTCCTCAGCTTTGCTAAGACGAGACGGTGGTGGCACCTTCCCGTCGCCTAGCGTTCTACAACTTATCGCCCCTGAGACGGACGTGCACACCCGTCTCAGAGCCAAGCGCTTCGTTTTCAAACAAAACTGCCAGATGGCGCTCATGCTTCGCGCGTGGCGTGACTTGATGCGCTCGTTCGCCTCTTCTTCACGCTCGAAGCACTCGAACGCAGCGCCTCCAGAATACCATTCTCCGATTTTTCTTCGCAGAACATCAAATAAATTGTTCACTCTCTCCACACGCAATGCTATCGCCTTTCGACGACATTTGCAGACTAGCATGCACATTGGGCGCCATTTTTTTCACTCTATTTATTCAAAAAAGTAAGCATTTGTTAGCCACTACCATATTAAATTACTCATAAACAGCAGCGAATATTTTCACGTGACTTAACGAACTGCGTGTTGCCCATAAAACGTTCACATTCAGCGTGTGCACACAGGTGATGATGTGGTGCGTATGCTCGACTATTTAAAAATATTGCATACATTATGATGCGCAGTTCTTTTTGAAACTTTGGAGCGGTCCATTAATTGTTGCTTACACGTTTACTGACTAAAACTTGGTGAGGTGTAGCAGTATCATATTGTGTAGAGTTCTGTAGTGAGGCTAGTTTTGTACTAAATAGGATTGACTATTTTGGTCAGAATTTGTTTTATACTCAATTTGATTATCTGCACACAAAAAAAAGGCCTCAGAAGGCGTCTATTTATCAAAAAAAGACTAAAAACAATTTCATATCGGAGATGCTTGCTACAACAGATTTCATTCGCTCGGTTGTGCATAGCATTAATACAGTGAAGAGACTTTTTTAACTTGAAATCGTTTTATCTCAGTGTTCATCATTGCTCCACTAGTATATTTTTGTCGCGGATGTGATACTGTAATATATTATGTAGTAGCAGCATGGAAAAAGAAACGAACAGAAAAGGTTTTGTCGCGAGCAGTAAGACCAGCGATTTCTCACCGCATAGCGTGGCGCAAGTCACTAGAAGAAAAAGCATAATTTTGAAGTATGTTAAAGGCAATCTATTTACATTCACAATATACCGCTGGCACTTCTCAGACCTCAGTAACTTAAGCACATTTTCATTATCAGTAACGAGATGGCTTGCGCTCTAAGTGTGGCTGCTCCGCGCGTTGCGATGCGCACGCGTCTTCAGACCGCATGGTCATGCGTGGTTCGCGCGCGCTTATGCGCTTATCTCGCTATCAGCACTTTCTACATCTTGTACTTTCACCGCATGTTAGGTTTGAGCCTAAAGCGTTGAAAGAGAGTACGAAGGTCACTTCACTTGCTGCCGTGGTTGCGTTAACAAAGGAGCAGGCTGCTCACAGACAAAAAATATTGATTGTGGCAATTGTTCACGCTCGGCCTGTTTACGCTTGTGCGCTCGTTTCGCAGTCTTGTTGTTTCAGCAGCTGTGACAGCTGTTTGCTCGCGTTTGTCCTGTCTATGCTCAATTTGAGTGCGCCTTCTCCTTGAGGTATGCGCTCCAAGTTTCGAGCTGCTTGCCGTTCTTCGCATGACATCACAATTGGTTGGTATAGCAATCATTGCTTCGCCTTTGTGGCAAACGAGAATGCACTATAAAAGCTCAACTAGCTCTGTGAAAACAGACACATTTCTCTTTTATGGTATACCAGTTCCAAAAAAAAAGAGATCAACCATGCTTTTCCACTTTTCTGACATATTTCTAACCAGAGGTTACTTTTGAATGTTATTGCCATATTTCAACAAAAAACCAATAAAATGTTTTACTTGATAGTTAGTGCAATTGGTTCTAAGACTAGTGTGTTAGAATGGTTGTTATTATTCAAAAATGATTTTGTTAAAGGTCGTTGAAAGCATACAAATACCCAACATTTAGCTAAAGCCAGTAAAATTACTTAGGGTATTCATTTGACTCTGTTGAAGTTCTACGTAAGCAAAAAAGGGACTGTTTTGCAGGAAGATCACAGCAGCAAGTGCAATTGGGAGAGATCTGAAAGTCACACGGAGAACAACAAGTAGTGAGAAAACTGCAGCATGCTGCTAAAACAAAAAAAGGAAGCCCGAAAAAGAACGTGTAGGTATACACAGAACAAGCACGAACTAACGTCTCTAACAATTCGTACGCCTTTGTGTTTAGGACGCGCACTGCAAGCGTGAATAAAGCAGGGCCTGACGCTGTTAGGAAGGTATTTACATGATCATTTATGTATTCTCAAAAGCCTTTAAAAGGCATTAGTTAATGGGGCCAATATCAGGGGCATGTCATGACACAAATGCAGTGTTTGAGCGGTAAGTAAAAAGCAAAGTGTATATACAGCAAGTTAATAAAATTCCAGAGTAAAGTGGAAAAGTGTAAGAACTGATACACGTGGGAGGTAATCGTACGCGAACACCAATAAAAGCTTAAAGAGCGCATAGTCATGCAGGCCAACGGGAGAAGCTCGAGAGTCCCACCCACAACAACCACGTTGTCGTCTTCTTCATTTGGGTGCCACTTCAGCTGTGTCGGGGCGACAGTTTCATACACGTATCATCACCCCGGCCCGTAAGGCACCGTCTCAGTGCCTGTTAAATGAGCGAGTCGGCATTGTAGGGCTTGAGACGAGAAACGTGGACTACTTCCGTTCTGGGTGCAGCAGCTGATGAGTTTGTGGTAGCGGCAATCTCGTAGGTCACAGGTGTGACCTGACGAATGACTCGGTAGGGCCCAGCGTATCGCGATAGTAGTTTCTCGCAGAGGCCAACTCGTCGAGATGGGAGCCACAGGAGAACAAGAGATCCCGCAGAAAAAACGGCATCTCTATGTGGACAGTCATAAAGAGACTTCTGTGCTGTCTGCGACGACGATAACCGAGCGCGCGCTACCGCGCGTGCCGTGAGGGCACGGGTGATTGCATCCTGAGCGTATGAGGTGGAGGATGGGTGGTCTGACGAAAGCAGTGTGTTGAAGGGCAGTAAGGGATGACTTCCGAGAGTAGATAAAAATGGTAGTAGCCCGCTGTTTTATGACGCGACCAGTTATAGGCGAAGGTTACGAAGGGAAGGGCTATGTCCAAATCAGTGTGGTCGGTAGATACGTACAGAGAAAGAATGCCCGTCAATGTGCGGTTTAGGCGCTCCGTAAGGGCGTTAGTCTAAGGGTGGTAAGATGTGGTGAAGTTGTGACGGGTAGCACAAGTTCAGAGTAGATTATCAACCACACGAGATAGAAAGTAGCGACCACGCTCTGTGAGCAGGTGAGTCGGAGCGCCATGCTGGAGAATAATGTCGTACAGCAGGAAGTCGGCAACGTCGGTTGCGCAGCTGGTTGGTAGCGCTCGAGTGATTGCATAGCGAGTGGCATAGACTGTGGCCACTGCCATCCATTTATTTCCAGTTGTAGAAGTAGGAAAGGGACCTAGCCAGTCCAAACCCATTCGATAAAATGGCTCGGCTGGAACTTCAATAGGTTGAAGTAGACCGGCAGGGGGAGTCGTAGGCTTCTTTCGGCGCTGGCAGGGGTCACAAGATGCGACGTAACGGCGAACAGAGCGGTAGAGACCCTTCCAGAATAATTGTCGTCGAATGCGGTTGTAAGTTCTGGAGACTCCTAGATGTCCAGAAGTTGGAGCGTCGTGGAATTGTCGCAGAACATCCTTCCGCAGGCGATGCGGTACGACGAGTAAAAGTTCCGCGCCGTCGGGGTGTAAGTTGCGGCGGTACAAAACGTTGTCTTGAAGCAGGTATCTGCTAAGAGAAGGGTCAGCATAACGCGATTGAAGGCGGTCAGTGATGGTGAGCAGCGATCGATCTAGGCGCTGTTCGTCAGCCACGTTCAGAAAGTCAGTGATGGCTAAAACGCAGGCATCGGATTACAAATCAGTGGAGCAAGGTGGATAAACGGGGTGCCGGGATAAGCAGTCAGCATCGCTGTGCAGCTTTCCAGATTTGTAAACAACCGAGAACGTGTACTCCTGTAATCGAAGTGCCCATCGGCCGAGTCTTCCTGTAGGGTCCTTAAGCGTCGACAGCCAGCAAAGCGCATGATGGTCCGTGATGACTGCGAACGGACGTCCGTATAAGTACGGACGGAATTTCGCAATACCCCAAACAAGGGCTATGCATTCCCGCTTAGTGATAAAATAATTTTGTTCCGCTTGCGACAAAAGGCGGCTAGCGTAGGCTATCACACGGTTGGTGCCATTCTGTATCTGAACGAGTATAGCACCAATGCCATGACCGCTTGCATCGGTGCGAAGCTCTGTTCGAGCCGCTGGATCAAAATGAGCCAACACAGGAGGTGATGTGAGAGCGGTAATTAGCGACGCGAAAGAATGTTCTTCGTCCCTTCCCCAAGAAAAGGCCACATTCTTTTTGAGGAGATCCGTGAGGGGCGTAGCAATATCCGCGAAGTTGAAGACAAAGCGGCGAAAGTATGAGCAGAGCCCAATAAAACTGCGAACTTCTTGTGTGGAATGCGGAACCGGGAATTCTCGGACTGCACGGACTGTGTCAGGGTCGGGTTGAACACCAGTGGTGTCAACAAGGTGGCCGAGTAGTTTAATCTGCCGACGTCCAAATGAGCATTTCGACGAATTCAGTTGGAGACCAGCGCAACTAAAAACGTCCAGAATTGCCGAGAGACAAGACAGGTGGCTTTCGAAGGAAGGCGAGAACACGTATATATATCTTTAAAAAGGAACAAAAGTTTTTATTGCTGAGAAGAAGCTAATAGAAGAACTAGACGGTGGGAGAGTTAGCTAAACACAGAAGATGACGACAGTTTCAACTTTTCATTGTCACGTTCCTGAACAAAAAACTCCGGAAGACTGTTCCAGTGTTGATTTGTTGAAAGCAGTAATGATTTTTTCAAAGGCTCGAGTCGATTCATGAAAACGTTGAACACTTTTAGAGTTGGATAGTCAACTAAAGGAGTGAGTTGGTGAAATGAGGAGAGTGCCATGCAGATGAGAAAAGTTGTGGTACAGTTTCTGAAACAGGCTGATTTGTGAGGTTTTCTGCAATCAGATAAAGGATTAAGCTCAAAAGATGATTTGATGTGACTGGTACTTGGATTTTTAATGTGCTGAGATGATGTGACCCGTACGCCACGATTGTGAACTTACTGACTTAACTGATTCTCTATTGCCAATGTTCATAATAATAGGCATGTGCTCTCAAACGATGCGCTTCAAAAGCAATCAACAAGACCCGGTATGTATCCTCCTCAGTCGAGTTGAAGGTGGCAGCTATCAATTTCTTTCCATCGTTGTATTGGCAGTGCCTACAGCGTCCACCTCACAAATCTTTCTATGTTGCTTTGGCGAACAATTTTCTGCCCATTCTTTGCTCTTGCATAGACTCCATGATCAGCCCAACTATTACCAAGTGCCGAGATCATGTGAAGACGTCACGTATATTCAGTTCACTTAAGGTTCAGGTCGTTTCTCGTAACGGCATTGGTCATAGGAACGTTACATAATCTGTTGGGACACACTATAGAATAAATTTTTCAGAATCAAAATCAATTATTTGATTGCTGAATAAAATTATATATAAAAGCATGACTATCATCAAAAACTTGAAAAATGAAGATCCATCTTTAAGCAATAATTTATTTTAGGTCGCATCTGTCTATGAAACGTAATAACTGGTGCGCATTTCGCACAAAAATGACACAGTAAAAATAAATATTATGTTAACCCACAATGGATACTATAGAAATGAATACACGCGTTAAGTGACTAGTTTGTAAATTCAAAGGGTCATTAATTCTGAAAACAGAACGCACATGTGCATTGAACGCATCATGGTTAATTGTAGATCCATACCGTTGAGAAAGGACTGCAGTCTGACGGTATTTGAGAGGGGGAAAATGGAACAGTAAAGATAGTTTTCTCTGAACGTGGTTTTGAGTGACATCTTGTCAGGTTATCATCACATTTTGCCTGAAGATGACGTCATCATGTATTCGAAAATTGTCGGCAATCTTTGACTTCGTGGTTACGTCATTGAGTGGGGTCGTCTCGGGATCACAACTTTAACACTCGAGTAAATTTCAGCCACGCAAAACGCTGACGCCACCGCTGGTAATTTTTTTTTTCTGTTCGATGGGGCATGAACGGCTTTTGACTTATTATGACATATAGGAAGTCAAATGCTCAAAGAAAGCTTGCTAGCATGCCCTTATGTTTGTGGAGATTGGATTCTTGGTAAAATTTTCCATAATTTGTTTCTTTTGTATTTTACACAAAACGACACTTTTTAGGGTAATACAGAAGTTCATCTGGAATCTTAGTTGCTTCTTAGAAGTACATATAATAACTTCAGTACCACAGTGACTATTATTACCTGCGACTTATCGTCAACAAGCGCTCACGTACTCGGTTAGGTGTTCGATCTTAATTCAGATTTCTCAATGGTGATTCACATAGCACTATAACATACAATGCCGATTTGCTGAAGAAGATCAGGTAAGCCTGTTTTGGTGGGGCAACCTGCGCAGCAATAAAAAAGTGAAATAACTTACCCATTGATTATCAGCTGAGATGTCGGTGCGCTGCAGCACAAGCTTACGCAGGGACGGTGGACGTCTAAGCATATCCCGTTCGGTATTTGGTACTGGCCAAACAGACACGTATCTGGAAAATAAATGCATATATATATATATATATATATATATATATATATATATCAATATATAGGCAGGCGTGGTGGTTGAGTGGCCGTAGCGTTGCGTATAGTCCAGTAGATCCTCCGTGAGCGGTCACAACGTGGTTTATTTCGACGTTTCGGCCAAGAGTCCGGCCTTCATCAGTCTTAAAGATACAGTTTGTTGGTGCTCAGCTTTATACAATCTCAAATTAGAGGGCAAGGAAAGAGGAAAAAAAGACAGAAAAGAAAAAAGGGAAAAAAAGAAAAAAAAGGAAAAGGAAAGAAAAAGAAGAAAAAAGAGAAGAAGAGAAAAATAATGTACAGTGGACGCTCCTCGGGTGCCCCACTTCCACTCTTCCTTCCACTTCCCCCCTCCACTCTTCCCTCCACTTCCCCCTTCATCTCTCTTCCCTTCTCCCCTTCACCTTTATGATGTCAGCGGTCTGTGTATGTTTCCGTTCACTAACGCATTCCTCCCGATCAGACGGCCCATCCCGGCACTGGCGGTTCGGTGTGGGGCAAAAAAGAGCTTTTCAGGAAGTCCTAAGACTTTAACTACACGGAGTCCCCTAAACAATTCGTCGTAGAAGGAGGGATGCCGCGTATTGTGGCAGAGGCTGGTAAGCGGGCATTTTAGGAAATTCTAAGCCTTTAACTACTCCGCGCCCTGTCAACATTTCGTCGTAAAAAGAGGGGTGCCCCGTGTTGCGGTAGGCTGTGCAAGCGGGTGCAATGCGAATTCCTTGCCGGCTTCTGGATTACGCGTATAGTGGGGGCCTCCCGGCTGTGCACAGGGTTGCTGTTGGGCAGGTCATGCATGGCACAATTGATTGGGTAGTAAAATAAAACAGAAAACAGACGACAGCTGCACTTAGGAAAAGTAGTTACAATTGGAATTGTTTTGGGTTGTCCAGTGCCCTTCGCAGCTGCAGTGCCGTGAACTCAGTTACTATTTTCGTTGTTGCCGTTATTGTTTTCTAATGCTTTAATTGCTGCAAGTGTACCAGGATTCTCATTTATTCCTCTATCGAGGGTGTTAAATCGGTGGATAAGGTATGACTCTCGTTGTTCACGTTCTCGATTTGATTTGAATCCCGTCTCTAAGAGCGTTACTGATAGTTTGTCGAATGCATGGTCGGGAAGATTGAGGTGTTTTGATAGAGGTAGACTTGGGGCTGATTTCGCTTGGGCTCTGTGATTATTGAAGCGAATCCTTAATGGTGTTTGTGTTTGTCCGATGTACTGCATACCACACACGCTGCATTCGAGTAGGGATACCACATTAGAGAAATCGCAAGTTAGGTTTCCTCGTATGTTAATCGAAAACTTGGATTGCGCGATGGTTGCTTTGTCTGTTTCTCGCATCGCCTTACATACAAGACATCGTGGCTTTAAACAAGGGCAGCATGAATTTTCGGGGGGTGGTGTGTTAATTTGGGAGTGGACAAGGGTGTCTTTGAGGTTACGTGGTCGTCGGTAAACGACACCTGGAGCGGATGGGAAAGCGCGTTTCAGACGTTCACTTTGTTCCAGAATGGTGTAATGTCGTTTAAGGATTTCGTTTACATTGGGGAAGTTTGTGCTGTAAGTCAAGCAGAGGTTTGTTCGTTGTGGGTCTTCTCGTGGTGGTCGCTTCATAAATAAGCCTTTACGCTTTAGATTTATCGCTTTTGGAACAGCGTCATTATATACATGTGGGGGGTATTTTTGTTTCTCGAGCATAAGTTTTAGCCTCTGTGAGCTCGTGTCAAAGTCAGCGTCTCTAGAGCAGATTCGCTTGAACCGGTGAGCCTGGCTGTATGGAATACTGTTTTTACAGTGGCGTGGGTGATTGCTTTGATAATGGAGGTATTGTTGTCGATCCGTTGGTTTGCGATATAGGGTTGTAGAGAGCTTCTCTTTTCTATCGTTGTGGTAACATCAATAAAATTTACGGTAACTTGTGAGTATGTGTGTGTGAAGTGTATGTTCGGATGTACAGCCTTGTAAGTGTCGATAAAGCTGAGAAGTTTGTCCTCGCTGTGGGTCCAAATACGAAAGATGTCGTCTATGTATCTTTTGTATAACATTGGTTTCAAGAAACTTTGTGCAAGAAATTCAGATTCTAGCTTTCCCATAAATATGTTCGCATAATTAGGTGCCATTTTCTTGCACAATTTCTTTCACAAAGTTACTTGAAACCAATGTTATACAGAAGATACATAGACGACATCTTTCTTATTTGAACCCAAGGCGAGGAAGAACTTCTCAGCTTTATCGACACTTACAATGCTGTACATCCGAACATACACTTCACACACACATACTCGAAAGTAACAGTAAATTTTATTGATGATACCATAACGATAGAAGAAGAGAAGCTCTCTACAACCCTATATCGCAAACCAACGGATTGACAACATTACCTCCATTACCAAAGCGATCTCCCACGCCACTGTAAAAACAGTATTCCATACAGCCAGGCTCACCGGTTTAAGCGAATCTGCTCTAGAGACGCTGACTTTGACCCGAGCTCACAGAGGCTAAAACGTATGCTCGAGAAACAAAAATACCCCCCACATGTATATAATGACGCTGTTCAAAAAGCGAGAAAACTAAAGCGTGAAGACTTACTTATGCAGCGACCACCACGACAAGACCCACAACGAACAAACCTCTGCTTGACTTACAGCACAAACTTCCCCAATGTAAACGAAATCCTTAAACGACATTACACCATTCTGGAACAAAGTGAACGTCTGAAACGCGCTTTCCCATCCGCTCCAGGCGTTGTTTACCGACGACCACGTAACCTCAAAGACACCCTTGTCCACTCCCAAATTAACACATCACCCCTCAATAATTCATGCTGCCCTTGTTTAAAGCCACGATGTCTTGTATGTAAGGCAATGCGAGAAACAGACAAAGCAACCAGCACGCAATCCAAGTTTTCGATTAACATACGAGGAAACCTAACATGCGATTCCTCTAATGTGGTACGCCTACTCGAATGCAACGTGTGTGGTATGCAGTACATCGGACAAACAGAAACACGATTAAGGATTCGCTTCAATAATCACAGAGCCCAAGCGAAATCAGCCCCAAGTCTACCTCTATCAAAACATCTCAATCTTCCCGACCATGCATTCGACAAACAATCAGTAACGCTCTTAGAGAAGGGATTTAAATCAAATCGAGAACGTGAACAACGAGAGTCATACCTTATCCACCGATTTACCACCCTCGATAGAGGAATAAATGAGAATCCTGGTGCACTTGCAGCAATTAAAGCATTAGAAAACAATAACGGCAACAATGAAAATAGTAACTGAGTTCACGGCACTGCAGCTGCGAAGGGCACTGGACAACCCAAAACAATTCCAAGTGTAACTACTCTTCCTAAGTGCAGCTGTCGTCTGTTTTCTGTTTTATTTTACTACCCAATCAATTGTGCCATGCATGACATGCCCAACAGCAACCCTGTGCACAGCCGGGAGGCCCCCACTATACGCGTAATCCAGAAGCGGGCAAGGAATTCGCATTGCACCCGCTTGCACAGCCTACACTACACGGGGCACCCCTCTTTTTACGACGAAATGTTGACAGGGCGCGGAGTAGTTAAAGGCTTACAATTTCCTAAAATGCCCGCTTACCAGCCTCTGCCACAATACGTGGCACCCCTCCTTCTTCGACAAATTGTTTAGGGGACTCCATGTAGTTAAAGGCTTAGGACTTCCTGAAAAGCTCTTTTTTGCCCCACACCGAACCACCAGTGCCTGGAGGGGCCGTCTGATCGGGAGGAATGCGTTAGTGAACGGAAACATACACAGACCGCTGACATCATAAAGGTGAAGGGAGAAGGGGGAGAGAGATGAAGGGGGAGGTGGAGGGAAGAGTGGAGGGGGGAAGTGGAAGGAAGAGTGGAAGTGGGGCACCCGAGGGGCGTCCACCGTACAATATTTTTCTCTTCTTCTCTTTTTTCTTCTTTTTCTTTTCTTTTCCTTTTTTCTCTTTTTTTCCTTTTCTCTTTTCTGTCTTTTTTTCCTCTTTTCTTGCCCTCTAATTTGAGATTGTATGAGGCTGAGCACCAACAAACTGTATTTTTAAGACTGATGAAGGCCAGACTCTAAGCCGAAACGTCGAAATAAACCACGTTGTGACCACTCACGGAGGATCTACTGGTATATATATATATATATATATATATATATATATATATATATATATATATATATACGTGTATATTTAAAGGTTGTGAGACAACGTCCACGGGTGTGTTCCAATACTCACTGTAGACGGCTAAATAGATAGCTAAGTGGACGGCGGCCATCTCATGTCCAATTCCAATTCTTAAGTAGCCGGCAAAATAGACCGCTCCGAGAAGACGGCATCGTAGACAAGTACGATCCAGGCTATTTTGCTGTCCAAACAAGATAGCGGCTTAGCAAATCGCTCAAATAGATTGGATCTCGCTGGAATGGTTGTCTTCACACAAGCAGACGCTTCTCCAGACGCTCAATGTGAGTAAGGTTCAATTTTTTTTCCAGATTTCCATAAGACATTAGCCAGAAAATACAACAGTTGTGTATGCTTATTTTAGCTTTCATTTCTCGATGCGAGGTGGGGCTTCATCTTGTAGAAGTCGTCCAGACATGTTCCATTTCTCGAACAGTATGGGCTCGGTGCCGTATCCTAAGCTCTCTGCGTGCTGTCTAAAAATTAGAACACAGCTCAAGACTATCTAGACTTTTTTTTATTGTCTCAAGTATGTGCCCACCTCTCCCCCCACCTGAACTTGAGCGTTGATGAGTATGAAGTTTAAAAGTTGACGGAAGCCCCTCTGGTCAATATGATACAAGGTTAAAGTAATAAACCTGTCAACATTGCGCCGATCAAAGTAAAAGTTAAAAAAAGCACAGGAAAAAGACCTTTCGGCTCCCACACGGCAGCCTTGTCAACAGTGAAATGAAAACATGTGCAAAGCAGTTCACCCTATGTATGTTTCAAT